TGAATATGCAAACCTTACCATTATTATTTCTGTTAAATCAAAACGCTTGTTATAAAAACTACCTTATGTACCTACAAAACAGATGATTCTTTAATGATCATGACATTTTTGAGAAAAATGAAACATTATACATACGTACGATAATGCGAAGCCCACTGCCAGGTCTGGAAATTCGTCGTTTTTGTTGATTAATAGTAATGAAAACCAAAAAATAAATAAACAGAAATGTTAAAGAGTAAGAAAGAATAGGATTATTATTTAGGCCTTTTTGTTTTATAACTAATTTAGAAGGAATGCTGTTAGTATACTAAAATTAACAAATCTTATTATTTCTCTACATTTACTATCACCGTGCTTTATTACAGTGCAGTGGGGTATCCGGAAAATTCACTCCCCGCCTCTCGACGCGTTAGTGTTCTGAGCTGTTGGACGTGAATCCCTGTCCTGGCATTTGGTTTTCACCTCTGGCTGCTTTGAGTAGTTGAGTTACTGTGACCAAATGCCCATCTTGGTAGTTAGTATTCGCCTCTGGTTGCGTTGAGTAACTGAGTTACCGTTGCTAACTACCCATCTTCCTGTTCTTTTGTTTTCTTTTTTCTTTTTCTTTGTTTCTCCTGAAGAAGCTACATATAATTGTAGCGAAACGTCGAGATGAACCCACTTTTGGGTCACTCACAAATGACACGGTCCAAACCCGGAAGACGAATAAACTATAATTCACCGACTTTTTGACCGAATATTTTAGCGATTGAAAGTCCAGAAATGTCAGTTCTTCGCCATTTTTTATTTTTGAAATACCTTTTTAATGCAAAAAGCATTATGTCGTAGTAGCTCTTTTAATTACAAATCGAATGAGACTTCATAAGGTCCGATTGGTTAATTCCTTTTCAAGATACGTTTAATGGCTTATAAAAATAAATTAAAATTATATTAAAGTTTATAAATTGTGCAGGGCCAAAACTTTTTTTTAACAAGACAGAGATTCAATTCTAAACGAATTCTCTTCAAGGTCTATCATACGTATTTACGTAGGAATAAAAATATTTGCTCAATAACGGCTAGTTGGATCGTGACGTAAGAGGGGTCGTTGGAAAGTCGCTCGAGAACTAAATAATCAAGGGTTGGTCAAAGGGTGAAATGACAAAAGACCTTAAGCTTATAGTTCCTAAACGACTTTAAACATACAATACCGTGCGATATGTCGTATGACAGGATTTAGCGAATAGAATAGGATGCCAGAGCCCTAAAACGTGCCCAAGGGAAAATACATTCAGTCTTCATCCCTGTCGGAATGGCTCGTTGTGGCGACCAGAAATCTGGTCATAACTGAAGTCAACAGGGATTTTAAACATGAATATATCCAGGATAGCCTGAGAACTGAGTCACAAAACTCGTTAGCCATAGAAAAATATCACCACAAACTTCGTCAGCATTTATAGACTCTGAAACCAAGTACGGTTTCGCCGTACGCCGGGTATGCCAAGGACTGCAGGGTCCGACAATTGTTCATTTGAAACATTGCTCTAAATGCTACCAAAGTTGACATCTCAGCACAAAGTGCCCTCAAAGGGTCACAATATGTCCCAATTCTGAGCAACAACACGCATGCCTGACAGGCAACAACATTCACCCAATCAAGTAACCCAATTGTCAGGCCTTCTCACACCTAAATACTCTGTCTGAAAAGTTCCTTTTTCATTCTCCAGAAAAAAAAAACAGAACATAACCAGTCATTGCTACTAAACAAGCACCTGCACACTCTTCGGACATGAAGCTGATATTTTACTCATGTAAATGATTCACGTATCGATGATCATTTTTAAAGTCTTTCCAGATAAAAGTGACAATGGCGCTGGATTCTATAACGAGTTTGCCCACAACATGTATGATTAAGTAATTTCCACGAAGATAACCATAACTCCGTCCATCTGATCACTAAAATCCCTAATTAAATCCCTGTTGTACCCATCCCAAGCAAGACACACGCTTTGAGGTCAATCAGACGTCTGAATACTTTAACTTAAAGCGTCTTGAGGACGTTAATAGCGGAAGCTCTCGAAGAAAACCCATAAGAGTATCGCAATCAATAATACAAAGCACATGGAGAGATTAATTGTCTGTGCACAATGCTAGATGGCCTAGGTGAGCCAAGATGAAGCTATAGTTACCATCAATGTCTTTACTAAAGACAGACAAAAAATCTGAAAGAATGAATCGACAACTCGATCTGCCCAAAAGAAGCTCTCCGACATAATCTGCAATTCTGAGCATTACAAATCATTTCTCCATCCAATCCAGTAAAGATCACATTCCTTGAGAGGTTTTCAAAAGTCTAAAGCAAGTATATAATTATTTTTTAATCATTTCTGATTCACATCATTAATTTGTTAGCACACTAATCCGAGGTTGTGTGAATTTTTTATACTTGATATACACTACACCCCAAAATTAACGCATAATTTTAAAAAATCCTGGTAAATTAAATAATTTGAATGTTTCGATTTTTGTGCTAGTAAGTATATTATTGTTACCCCCGGTATATTGTAAAAACCTGCTAATTGTGCTTCATTTTATTCCGAATTTAGTTGGGTTGGATTACGTTGTGCTGAACGTTTGAAAGGGTTTTTCAAGTTTATTAACTGTTTTTTCTTTGAAATGAACCACCTTCTTCTTCTTAGCCTTCTATCGTCCATGTTTGGGCATAGGTCTCTCACAACTCCTTCCATCGGTCTCTATCCTGAGCAACATATTTTCAGTTTGTTCCGGCTATTCTTTTAATGTCATCAACCCATCTCATCTGTGGTCTTCCTCTTGGTCGTTTACTTTCGTAAGGTCTCCAATGTTGGTGATCCAAGAGGTGGTCCAAATGAACCACCAGCAGCAAGAAAATCGAAATGTGTCAGAAAGTGACTGTTTTAGAACCGTTACTCTTCGCGAAGAAGGATACACTCAGGTAGAACTCGCTGAACGTTTTAACGTCACCCAGTCAACCATTTCAAGAGTGTTTACATGTTTTTCTGATACTGAAAGTAACTGGAGAAGACCCGGTCAAGACCGTAGAAGGGTTACAACTCCTAATCAAGGTCGGTTTTTGGCACTTCGTACACTGAGACAAAGCTTTGTTACCAGTACTTCTCTACAAAATGAATTTTTGGATCGTTATAACTTTAGAATCAGCCAATATACGATTAGAAGAAAACTTGCCGAAAACGACCTACACCCTGGAAGGGCACCAATTGGCCCATTATTGACCAGAGACCATAAAAGGCAAAGATTGCATTTTGCCCGTGAACATGTTGATTGGAATAATGACGATTGGGGAAGAATATTGTTCACCGATGAATCCAGGTACTGTCTTTTTTCTTATGACAGGAAAAACCGAGTGTATAGAAGGCCTGGGGAACGCTATGTTGGGTGGGATTAATTTAGAGGCTCGTACGGAATTAGTTAGAGTAGATCGCGGTCGGCTTACATCGCAGAGGTATATAACAGACATTTTAGAAGAGCATGCCGTGCCATTTGTACCATTTATTAGGGATAATTTCATGCTTATGCAAGATAATGCTAGGCCACACACGGCAAGAATTGTGCAGCAGTATCGTCAGGAGGTTGGAATTCCTGCCATGGATTGGCCTGCGAGAAGTCCTGACCTCAACCCAATGGAACATGTTTGGGACATCATAGGCAGACGACTACGACAACTACCTAATGCACCAAACACATTAGATGAACTGTTTTTGCGGTTGGTTGAAATTTGGGATCAAATTGATCAAGAAGAAATCAGAACATTTATTCTCAGTATGAGAGATCGTTGTCAAGCAGTAATAAATGCCAGAGGATGCAATACTCGATACTAGTACACGGTACTAGTATTTTCTTCAACTTTAAAAACTTCAATTTCGTCATTAATTTATAATGTTAGTTTGTTTAGATCAGTTGTTTGTTTAGATGTTTAGATTTATGATTAATTACTATTTATAACTGGGAATAAGCCACAATTAAAGATAAAAATACGTTTATTGACGTTTCAATTTCCAATTCGGAAATCGTTCTCAAAATACAAACAGTAAATTAAACAAATTTAGTTTTTTTTGTTTTTGTTACATAGTGTAACAAAAAACAAAATTTGTTTAATTTACTGTTTGTATTTTGAGAACGATTTCCGAATTGGAAATTGAAACGTCAATAAACGTATTTTTATCTTTAATTGTGGCTTATTCCCAGTTATAAATAGTAATTAATTTACAATGCCACAAGAAAATAGCTTCAGAACAATATATAGATTTATGATGTTATATTGTTAATTTCAATACATTTTTTGTAAAAAAAGAAAAGTTTTTTATTTAAGATGTTCTAAACAACTTTTTTATTTAAGATTCCATCTATTTATATACAAAATAGAGATAACAGAAAAATGTTGCTTCAGCACTCGTATGGTGGTCCTTTAATATTCTTGGGACGTCAGCATATTTCATTTACTTTACATACAGACTAAATCCTTGTTGGATACAACGCTTTATTTTGATTCTACATGTATTATTTCAATTAATTACCAATTAGAGTAATTGCTTCGATTAATTACTCCAGTCATTATAGACGAAAATGCCACTGAACCTCTAAAAATCATAAGATCACGCTGAATTTTGATAAGAATGTCAATTTTGGTGAACCCCAAAAAGATGCAAAAGAGTTTCAAAAAGAAAAGCAAACTTTCTTGCGTCATTTTTAGGGTCCCAAAATTGATATTATGTATCAGCGAAATTCAGCTTCTTTGTCACGTTTTTAGAGATCTAATATCTGTCGACTGGACTACAAGAAGTTTGTTATATATGTACACAAAATTTAAAACAAAAAGGCCAGTAAAGATATAACAGTAAAGACAGTTAAAACAGAAGGCACAAAAAGCGGAAAAAGGTTAAAGCTAGAGTAAACAAAACACATAAAGACGAAACACAAACAAGGAAAAATAAAATAAATGATAAAATAAAAAGAAATCATACCTTTTGACGGGCTGTACAGTAAGCCCATCGTTCGCAGAATGACCAGACCGTAGCGAGCTCAGTGAAGTCGTACGAGTCTCGGGCAGACTCTTTAACAAAGGATTAGGAACTTTAAAGAGGTTAGGAGGACTGTGTCTTTGTTGAGGACTGTTGTTTTCGCTGATGCTTTTTCTTTTGGGCCTGGGAGTTAGGAATGAAAATAAACTTTCGGAGCTGAATAGTTTGCTACTGAACGATTTCTCCGGAGGTGGCTGTACTGGCATTCTGGGTATTTCGAATTCGCTTTTGGAACGCAGCACTCCTTCTTGGTTTCTCCTATTCTTCTCGATTTCTGTTAGGCTTAATCGATTGTCTGTTGTAGGTTCTCGATTACTCGTAGTATCCGATTTTCGATGTTGAATATCCTCGACTGTGAGCATGTTAGATTTTATCCTTTCTACCACAGAGGTGGACGACGATTTTTGCAATTCGATGAAATTTTGTGAGAAAACGTCGGATCTATGATTAAACGAAACCTCTGGAGTCTTATATTCATCGGCACTAGAATAACTTAACTGACTTTGATAAGACCTCGGAGTTCCGTACATAGAATTCAGTTCCCCATCAGGTACATCTTTGGAGGGTGTGGAAGTGGCGATATTCTTTGGGAGGGAAGCCGCAAATGCCCGGCAATTAGGAGAATGGATTGTGTTAGGGATGTTAATTTTTTTAGGGTATGTGTTAAGCTTAAAGTTATTTAAAGGTTTGTTGTTTGCCCGGACCGATCTGCTATGTAGGTTCCTGATATAAACAGAATATAAGTCAAGCATGCAAGACGACGGCAAAGGTTGTAATGTAATTATTTCTACACTTTTCCTAGTATACGGCTGCTATAAACAATAGCTAAATTTAAAAAGCAAAGGGAAAGAAATACATGTCTACAAATTATAAATGTTGCATATTCGTACTTTATCAAGAGCTATGACGTTGCCTAAAAGACGGCCCTTAATTCGCAATTTTTAACATTAATAATTGCACGATATTGATGTTGTGCAATGATGAATGCACAATAAATTATATTGTGAAATTTTTTATATAGAATAAAACAATTGTACAATAATACTTGAATACTTCTTCATTTTATTAAAATTTTGAGCAATATACAGGGTGTGGGACAAGTGTTGATTAAAGGTAATGGAGGATATGTCACTTTCCGTTATACCGGAACCATAGACGTCAACTTTGTTATTTTAATTACAATTCTACATGAAATTGTATATAAAGTTTGTGCACAATGTTCTATACCAAAATCCTAATCCACAATGAATAGCGATATCTCCATTAATAACCAGGCTAGTGACGTAAAATTCTAACCAATAAACAACAAGTGCTTGCCCGTTAACTCCATATGTCCAAATCACTGATATTTCATACAGGGTGTTTTAAACTTAGCCGCCAACTTGCACAATTTAAATAATTTGTAAGTTGCCTTAGCAAGCGGTTGGGGAGCGCAGTTGGTTTCGTCCCAGAAAGGTTCAAGGCTTAAATACTAGCTAAGCTGGAACGCCCGCAGCAGCCGACATCTATGTAATGTTGATCGAACCTATAGTACCCGTTTTCCTAGCCTAAGAAACTTTTTAACTCGGATACTAACAGTTCTTAACTGGTTCTCAAGTCACACAGTTATGAATCATGGCGGTAGGTATTGACAAGACAATATCACCAGATCTATTGTCTTTCCAGTAGCAGATATGAATCTTGTGCACCACGTGATCTTCTGACCAAGGAGCAAACCTGCCGTACGCGGGATAGCGGAATTTGAAGGTCGTTATAATCCAAAAAATGATCAAACCTCACACCCAGTCAAGGGACCGTGTAAACGTGAATGCCTTTCACCAGTGTCTCCAGTATTCATACTGGGTGACCTCAACTGTAACAGTATCGCGTGGGGGTATAAAGAAACAGACTCCAATGGGGAAGAACTAGAAAATTGTACTAAAAACATGAACCTCAAACTTATTCATGATCCAAAACAGCCCACGTCTTTCAACAGCGGAAGATGGCGCAGAGGTTACAATTCAGACAATATATTTGTCAGCAACAGGATTGGAGACCAAGTGCCCCCTCCCAAAAACACAGTACAGACCAATAACTTGCTTTTTGAACGCGGCAATCAGATTCGAAATTGTTTCTTTCAAGAGAAGGTTCAATTTCACTAAAGCAAAATGGGAAAAAATTCGCTAAAGCATTAGATCAAGAAGTTTCCCAGCTAGAACCGTGCTCTGATTCATACGATAAATTTGTACAAATCGTAAACAAATCACGAAAATATACTCCTAGAGGTTGCCGAACCGAATACATAGCGGAGCTAAATGAAAAATCTACAGCCCTATAGGAGCAGCTATATAAAGACGATCTCTTTTCGGAAGCAACAATACAGGCTGGGGAGGAAGTGCTACATGCGACATCCACCAACATAACGGACAGATGGTGCAAGCTGGTTACGAGTCTAGACATGAAATAAAACAGCAGACATGCTTGGAATTTAATTCGGAATCTTGGCAACAATCTCGCCGCCCTGGCACCCAATCTAATAAAAGTCACACCCGATCAGATAGCCCATCGTCTCTTGACAAAAGGTAAGACGACATCAAGGAAGAACAAAGTGAGAGTACAAAGAAATATCGACGAAGAAGATAATGTTCTAGGTACCTCCTTTTATCTGGAGGAGATGAGAGGTGAGATCCACCAAACGAAAGGTAATAAAGCGGCTGGCCTAGACGATATACGATCAGAACAAATAAAGCACTTTGCACCAAAAACCCTAGAGTGGCTCGTAAAAATGATGAACTGTTGCGTCCGTGCATTCCAAATCCCTAAAACTTGGAGAAAAGCTAGACTGGTGGCCCTTTAAAACCAGGAAAGGATCTGGCGGATATAAAGAGTTTTAGACCTGTCTGTCTTTTGTATCACCTTTCAAACGCGTTCGAAAAAATAATACTGAACCGGATCGCTGAATCTATAGACACTAAAATTATTCCTGAACAAGCAGGATTTAGACACGGAAAATGCTGCTGCAGTCAAACTCTTAGTCTCACCCTACACATTGAAGATGGGTTTGAACGGAAAGAAATAACAGTAGTAGCGTTAATAGACCTGACTGCCGCCTATGACACAGTTAACCATCAACGGCTGCTGGTAAGACTCCCACAGAAATAGAAGACAGCACTATACTATGACGAAAACCATCTGAAACCCAATCCTACAAAAACTAAGGTGTGTGCTTTCCATATTAGAAACAAGCATGCCCGAAGGAAACTGGAGGTGGAATGGCGTGGTCAGATGCTGAAACACAATGAGACGCCAAAATGCCTCGGCGTACGTCTGGATAAAACGCTGTCTTTTCAATATCACTGTCAAGATACCAAGAAAAACGTAAGCACCAGAAATAATATCACCTGCAAACTAACAAACACAAAATGGGGAGCACAACCACACACTCTCCGTACTTCTGCCTTAGCATTATGTTTTTCTGCTGCTGAGTTTGGAGCACCAGTTTGGGAAAACTCTTAAAAACGTCGATGTTGCGTTACATAAAACGGTTCGCATAATATCTGGTTGCCTGAAACCGACACCTATCGAAGTGGTCTACCCTACATTTGGAATCGTCAAACTGCTATCAGAAGACAGGTCACGTGAGAAATAGAACGAAAGAAGTAGGAGACGGATTGAAGACACACTTTGACCACACACGCAACCTGAAGAAGTGAGGATACAAGGAGGACGATACCTGCGACTGTGGCGCGGTTGAGAATACTCACTATCTACTATCAGGCACAGAGATGAGAGAGACCTGCACAAAAGAAGACCTATTCTTAGCGAATGACAGGGCCATACATGTGGCCAACCATTGGAAACACAAAATTTAAAGCTATTGGTGTTGCTGGCGTGTTGATGGAGACTGCTTCCAGTCTTCACAACTTCCGTTTTGGTAGTATGAGCTTAGATTTCTCAAAAACACTATTTCTTCCAGATGAAAGTGGCATGTTAGCAATAATGTGGCCCCCAAACTTCCCTATAGTTCCTTTGTTACACTAAGCTCCTTCAACCCGTAACTCCAGCGTAAACCTTGGAAAAGCTGACGATCGTGCTACTTACTACTCGTCTCCTCTGGTTAACAACCAGCAGAAGCACGTCCCACTTGGGTAGGAAGTTTGGTAGGATGCTTCCTACCAGAGATTATAGGGATTGACAGTAGAGTGCACGAGAGTTCGTCGCGCATCCAAGAAACTCAGATTAAACACATTTAGATTTTTTTTTTTCAGAGTTAAAAAACTATTATATTTTTTTATATTTCATACGAATAAGCTCTGAATACAAGCAATAAATCAAAACTATAGTTTCAAATATTTCTTTCCCTTAACTTTTTCCAAATTTTTACAAAGGTAAAGATAATTTTTCTTCTTGTTTTGTTAATACAATTATTTACTTTACACGTTTAATATCAAAGGCTCGATCAGATTAGAGTACATATAGAGCCCATTACAGCTTCAAGATTATCCCATTGTATACAATTGTTTTTAGAGCCAAAGCTTCGTCCTACGCAAAAAGCTGTGGTAATTACAGTGCCGAAAGCGAAGTTAACAGCGTCGTAGGTGTCTAGAATTGGAAACGATAATTAATGAACTCAATGTGACAGTGTCGGGAGAGGTACAATAATACATTAGCGCGATATAATGAATCATTAGAATGTAAGGTTTACGCCTGTAGAGATAATTCTTGTTTGCTATAATAAAGTTTTCCTAATTTTAACTTTAATACAACGCTATAAAATGCCTTTTAATAATTCATGAACGTTCTTCTAAACCAAAGTCGAGAAAAAAAATTGTTCGGCTCGAAAAATTTTCCCATATACTAGTACTATGGACTCATTTTCGTCATTGGCAACCTTCTCATCAAGGCTAAATTAGAAGAGAAGATGTTATTAGTAAATTCGTACTGGGAAGAGACGAAAGATAAGTGATTGAGCAATAACATAGTGTTACCTTTTTGCGGCGCCGCTGACTGGTTATATAAGTATCGGGATTAGGTTTTCTATCGCAAAACTTTAAATTCACTGATTCTGTTTATTATCTATTTCTCGACACTGCCTGAGGAATCTCATAAATACAAGGACGAGGACAAAGAATTGCTTTCATATTCCAGAATATAATATACATAATAGAATATTTAAAATAGTTTGTGCATTATATTAGGTTTGAAATGAAAGTATTTGTTGTCATCTGGAACGACGAGGATTATAAAATCTCTCAATGTCAAAGTGTGTACAACACTATGAATAAAAAGGTATTCATTTAAACAGCAAAAAACGCAGTAATGTATTAAAAAATATATACAACACTAAAATATATATATATATATATATATATATATATAATATATATATATATACAGAGTTGACCAAATGTCTGGAAACACCTAATTATATCTTAAACGGATGGTCCGTGTTGCAGTTTACCAACTTTATATAAATATTTTTAAAATATTAACATATTTTATGTTAATTTTGTTAGAGTTAGCCCAATATTTCGCTTACAAAAACACTTGGATACTATCAAATAATAAACGGCTGTTGATACAGTGTTGAAAACAATATATTGTTAATTCATACAATGTTGTTAACAAAGAACCGCAGAAAAGTGAGTGTCTTTCGTTAAAATTGCAGATCGCTTAGGTAATTATCGCCCACGCCTCTTGTAAAAAACAATTCGTTAACTAACCGCCGTCTACAGGTAAGACTAGTTTCATCTGACAGACCACTCGCTGCCTCGTCATACTTTTGTTGTTTCTCTAGAAATTAATATGGATTCATCGAT